AACTGAGAGCATGGGGCAGAGTAATTTTCCTTGTTTAAGATACTTTGCTGCAAATTCTGGTTTTGGTAGCTAGAAATATCCCCAATAATACGTCCCTTCAAGATTCGGGTAGATGTGACCGGTAGGTCAGAGCCTGTGAGTCACACCAGAGGACTGAAAACATTGAAAGGTATGCAATGATAATATTACTATTATTCCTCACCTAATTTCACAGACTTTGCTGAATTCAGCAAGAGTCCGTTTAATTTCAAGTAGGTGAGCTCCATAGGGCAATGTGATTAATAACATTAGAAGTGCATCAGGGAATGGGAGAGATGACTCAGAGCTTAAGAGCACTGGCTGACCTTCCAGAGGTCCCGAGTGTAATCTCCAGCAGTCACATGACAGCTCACAACCATCTATAATGAGATCTGATACCCTCTTCTTGCATGCAGGCTGAACACTGTGTACATAATAAATACCACAAGGACATTTGCTCAACTATGTTCATAGCAACTGTACTTGTAATAGCCATAACCTGGAAGCAACCTAGGTGCCCCTCGGTTGAGGAATGGATAAAGAAAATACAGTACATCTGCACAATGGAATATTACTCAGCTGTTAAAAACAATGATGTCATGAAATTTGAAGGTAAATGGATGGAACTAGAAAAAAAAATCATCCCGAGTGAGGTAACTCAGACCCAGAAAGGCAAACATGTGTGTACTCCTTTATACATGGATATCAGCTGTAAAGTAAAAGATAGCTGTAGTATAATCCACAGGCACAAAGAGATTGGGTAACAAAAGGGGGTTCAAGGTGGGGTGCACAGAACTCCCTGGGAAGGGGGAACAAAAGAGATTTTGTGAGTGAGCTGAGGGCAGGCAAGGCTGGGAACATGAGTGTTGGGAGCAGTGAGACCCAGATCCTGAACTTCTTGTAATCCCCTGATCTGAGTGCCTACAGCTGCTCTGAGCACGAGACCTTCAGGAGTTCCTGACGGCAGGAGAGTGGTTTCTGGTGGGTTTGGCTGGGGCGTGGCTATCTCTATATAATCTGCCCCAGAACATAATAAAGGGAGCATTCTTGGGGAATTCGAGGATGACCCGTGTCTCGGTCTCTCTGTCTGTGTGTGTCTGTGTATTTTAACCTCCAGCCCCCTTGCCCGAAGCTCACGAACTGAGTGCCAGCTCACAGAGCGCAGACACAGGGGCGCGGTGCGCGGCAATGAGAAATTAGGTTGGGTGTGTGTGGAAGGAGAGAGTACTGAAAGAGACTACTGGAAAGAAGGGGGCATTTCAGGGCCAGCGAGGGAATCTCCCAGGAATCTATAAGGATGACCCCCAGCTAAGACTCCTAGCAATAGCCTATACATAGCCTAACTGGCCGTTTCCTGTGACCAGGCATGTAGAGGGAGTGGAAAACCAACTCAGCCACAATACCTTCAACCTAAAGTCTGTCCTACCCATGGGATGTGCTGGGTGACCTAGAGAGTAAGGAAGTGACCAACCAATGCCTGGTCTAGCCTAAAACCCATGCCAGGATAGTAAGCCCATCCCTGGCATCAGCTGAAACACCAGGGCACATAGGCTGAATGACCCAGAGATCCAGGATAGAAACAAACATGACCCGAAGTGGAGAAATGTCAACGTAATGATGTCTAACAATTGTCTGCTATACTCATAGATTGGTGGCTATTGTTGTCAGAGAGGCTTCGTCCAGCAAATGACAGAAGCAGACGCAGACCCATGACCAGAACTTCAGGTGGAGCTCGGAGAATCCTGTAGAAGAGGGGGGAACAGATTGTAGGAGCCAGAGGGGTCAAAGACACAAGACAACACACAGGATCAAGTAACCTGGGATCACAGCAGCTCACAGAGACTGAACCGCCAACGAGAGAGCCTGCATGGGACTGACATAGGTACTCTACATATATGTTACAGTGTGTAGCTTGGTCTTGGGTTAGGTCTTCATATTCCTTTTGGCAGGGGGTACTGTCCACATATTAAGTTTTGCAGCCTGAGTAGTACTTCCATTATGGAGTCAGTTGTGCTAAGGACTGAGGACCGACCAAGCTGTGGACTCGATTACAGAAGCATTGCTATGCTATACAGGTATGAAATAAATGCCCGTATTCAGTAGAAAATTCACTATTGAGAACATCTGGGCAGAATCGTGTAAGTACTACACCCACGGAGCCGTTTCCCATAAGAACTGGACACGCCAAGCCTTCCCAGTCCTATCTATATTTCCTTAAAAAGTCTTCAGTGTTCCTCTGAGGTTTACACTAACACTATACACTATACACTTTCCTTTTAGCTGTAATTTTAAATTAAAACTTTTTCATTAACATACAAAAATGAGTGTCAGTGGGATATTTTCATATATATAATTATATTTTTCTTCTTTCCCCGCACACTCCTTCATTTCCCCGCCCCCCTCTTTCTGTGCCCATCTCCCCAATACTCCCCCTTCTGCTCTCACCTCACATCTATTCCATCTCTTGCTCCTTCCACTCCTCACCCTCCACACCTCCTTCTCCTGTCTCACCGTCCAACTGTCTACTTCACGCCATGTATATGTTTGTAAAATTTTTAATCTAGATTCTGCTCATGAGAGAAAAAAAAGCATGTTGTCTTTCTGCATCTGACTTGCTCCACCGAGCATCCTAATCTTCCGTTTCCCCATCATAATTTCCTTCTTCATCTCTGATGAATATTCCTTCGGCCGTCATCTGCTGACGGCCATTGAGATGGGTTTCGTATTTTGGTTATTGTGAGTAATGCAAAGATAAACATGGATGCGCTTCTCTGGCTTCGACTCAGTATAGTTGGACCATATGGTAGCCCTGTTTTAGACTTTCTTTTGAGGATCTTCCATACTGATACCCATGGCAGCTGCATCAGTTTACACTGCAATCAGCAGTGAATAAGGGCTCATCCTCACCAGCATCTTCACCAGCATCTTCACCGCATCCGTTGGTGTTTCTTTTCTTAAGACAGCCATTCTTGATGGGATGAGATGGAATCCCAAAGCAGTTCTATTTGTAATTCTCCAATGGCCGGTGTATTGGCTGGGGTTCTCTAAAGGAAAAAGACTGACATAAAACAAACAAGATAATACAAAGAAAGTGGGTGTTTATTAGAATGGCTTCCAGGCTGTGGTCCAGCTAGTCCACACTGGCCGTCCACCAACAGAAGAATCCAATAGTGGCTCAGTCCCTGAAACTGGATTTCTCAGCTGGTCTTCGGTATACACTGCAATCTAGAAGAAGTTAGGTTCTAATTCCAGTGAAGGACTGAGCTTACCAGCAAGGTAAGAGCAAGCAGCCAAAGACAGCAAGCCCCCTTTTACCTTGTCCTTTCTGTAGGCTGCCAGGAGAAGGTATGGCCCCGATTGTAGGTGGATCCTCCCACCTCAAAAGATCTGAATTAATACTTTATATCCTCATCTCAACAGATCTGGATTAGAAGTGGGTTTTCCCGCTTCAAGTAATCAATTAAGAAAAGATCCTTCCCAGGTGGACCTAGCCCCTTGGATTTCAGTTAATCCCAGATGTAGTCAAGCTGACAGCCAAGAACAACCATCACAATCCCTCCCCGCCTTGTGAATTTGACACACAGTTGTATCTCCTATGCCGTGATTGATTTTCAAATGAAAGCAATGGCCAGGTCCTCATTGCACCTAACATGGCGTGACTAGCCTACATACCACTGTAAACACATTACACATTTAACCAGACCATAGCTACATCTAACATGAGTTGACTATGCCTTTTACAACCACAAAGACATTATAAATTTAGAACAGGTGGCAATGTCCCTTGAGGGACCTTCTTTGAATATCTCAAATTTATATATGATAAACCGATGTTCTCTTAATTGATCCTGTATCACATGGTAAAGAAACAGAGGAGAGAGAACACAAATATCTGCACGAATCCATTCTTAACAAAATATGGCAGAAACCTCATATTGATTATATCCTTACTACTGTAACTGGTCACGTGGCCTTAGTAGGTATCGCTAACTACCTTCCTCAACTACTCATTTCCTCCAGAGATCTGATACTGTTTTTCTCATTCACTATGTTCCCTGGCAGAGGCAAATCTAAAAGCTTCCATTTAGATCTCCAACCATAAGAGCCCACACTCCACAGGCCAGGGAACCAATGAGAGAACTCTACCGACTTCTAAGTGGACCTAGCTCGATTCAGCATTCTGGGACTGAGAAATAACCACCTGTGAGTAGGACTTGAGCCCAAACTCCATTAACACCAGACCTCCATAAGCCTCTCCGATAACTGGCTGGCCGCAATGTTTCTTGGGATCTCCCGGAATCAGCATCAATTCAGAACCAGTATCCAATAGACCCCTAAAAGTCTGATGGCTTCCTTTCCCCCAGTGTACAGTAACCCTTCCCCTTTAGGGAAGGACTGGGAAAAGGTGAACTGTAAAACTCAGGTATCTTACCAAGGTCCTTCCTCAGGGGTACTTGGTTGGACCTTCATTCTGGTGTTCTGGGTCTGCAAACCGGCTCCAAATCTGCACTGAGAACTTTTGGTTCTCAGACCAAAAGTCCCTATGGCCACAATCCAATGTAGGCTTTTTTTTTTTTCATTTGTTTGAGAATCTTTCCACATATACAGATTAAACAAAAATGCATGGGCTTAGATACAGCAGTTAAGCATCGAAATTTCCAAATTTGTTGTTGCTTTTTTTTTTTCAGAAAAGGAAGAGAGAGGAGGGAAGGAACGAAAAGAAACTGGCTTTTATTTAAGTGGGATTTGCTGGGTTTTATTTCCCAGAGGCTGCTTGCGAAGATCCTGCCCTTTCTAAGTGGTCTGCCCCATCCTCGCGGAGTCAGGAAGCTGGGAGGCGGGCGAGCGCCCCCTGGTGGTCACGACGGAGCCGCACCGCGGACCGCGGGAGGGCGGGAACCACGGCCGGCCCCGCCCCCGCCGTCCCGGCCTCCGCTTTCCCGCGCGGCCGCGGCTGCGCCACTTCCGCTGCTCGGGCCGCTATGACTCCCGGACCCTGGTTGCTGGTGCTCTGGATGCCTCTCCTGGCCACTCTGCCCGCGGGCGCGGTGCAAGAGAAGGAGGAGGAGGCGGTGATGGCAGGTAACCCTGGCTCCGGGCAGGGGGGGGGGCACCCTTCTGGGCGTCAGGGTCACGCGTGGGCGCGGCCAGTCCCCGCCCCTGTGCGCGAGCATCCGGATGCTTCACGTTTTAATTCGTTCAGGACACACTGCCGAGCACCGGCGCAGCTGGCCCCTTGCCACCCGCTCTTGTCTGAACTTATTTTATCCGTCTCCACAAATCTCATGCAGCCCCAAACTAGAGGAGGATAAAAGCTTCAGAGTGACACCAGGATTCTGTCCCCGATTGGCTGCTGTGACCTGGGTGATTGGTCACATGCAAAATACTGCTGATGCCCCAGTCCTGAACCCCGGTGCATAGGAAGCAGCTGGGAGCTGCCCGGACTGTTTGAGTTGCTGAAGATCCTGGCTTACGAAGTTGTAGCTGCCAACCTCAGCAATTCCCCCACGAACTTAACATTTGTTTTAACCGCTCATGCATCCTTTAAAAGATTGCTTGTTAGCATTCTTCGTTGCATCAGCCACCCGTGGACTCAAGAGGGGCTGTCAAGTGTGGGACTTTTAACTGGATAAACTTCCCACACCGATAAAGTCGGTAGGGTGTCTAAGACAGAGACAGTGGCTAACGGGTGTTCAGTAAGCGGTTTCTAGCTCCTGCTGCACCTTGTGTCCCCGGTGGTTCTTGAGATTTTTACCCTAGACCAGGGTGGCCTCGAGTGTGCAACAGCCCTGCCTCGACCTCCCAAGCCAAGGGTTTTCAGGGCTGGCACACCTGGCTTACAGATTGGGTATTTCCTAGCCGACCGGTTCCCACTTCTGTTAAAGACACACCAGGACTTTCCTGCGTGGGAAGTGTAAGATGCCCAGGAGGTGATAAAACCTCAGTCTGCAGCTGAGAAAAATGGCGACTTCGGGCCCTACTCCAGAGAGTCTTTAAATGTGTGTAGGAGGTGACCACTGTCCTAGAGTGTTCAGTGACACTGTGAGAGCCCCTTGGTTGGCTGCCGCTACTGTCGAGGCTGTGGTTTTACAAGGAACCCCCGGATGAGACCGCGAGGCAGTACATGCCCCCACCCACAGGAAATGTATTTTTGAAAAAAAAGCACCGCAAATGGCCCAAAACTTCAGCTAGTACTAAACCTTACAGATACTTTTTCTCATAGATACATACTTGCCTTCAAGTTTAATTACAAACCGAGTAGAGTAAGAGAAAATTGATTGCTGCGAATGCAGTTATAATGAAATGCTGTGGGAACAGTTATTTGAACTGACATATTATTGTTTGGAGGCGCTTTCCATTCGGTGTTTTCAGACCCCGGTTGAACACGGAAAACTGCAGCTTCAGCCAGTGAAGCTGGTGTCGTGGGACACTGGTGGGTCCTGCCTGCCAAAAAGTAGGAGCCGTCCAGAGCGTGGGAGGCTTGCCTCTGATTGTTCCCGAGGCCCTTCCCAGCTCTGAGACCCTGCCTTGAGCACATACCTACGGCCATGGCATGAGGGACAGCCACTCTGAGGCCATCCTTCTGTCGCCTTATTTGAAGAAAAGGCAGACACTTGTCACGGGAGACAGGTAGTTGTCTGAGGAAGAGAAACGTCAAGTCAAGCATGACTCTTAGTTTGAAACCAATAGGTCAGGTCTACAGAAACTTCCGTCCTTCAGCTGAGGGGCCAGAGATGGTTCTCCCAGGCTTCCCTCTAACAAGGGGCCATTTTAGATTCACAGCTTGAAGTTCTTGTGTGGCAGGGAAGATGTCTCCTGAAGTGAGGATCAGACCATGCGTGCGCTGGGATGTGCTGATTTCTGTCCTCTTGTCACTGAAGGGCTAGAAACCAAGATTTATATTCAAATTAAGAGCAACAAATGGTGGTGGCCCACGCCTTTAATCCCAGCATTTGGGAGGCAGAGGCAGGCGGATCTCTGTGAGTTCGAGACCAGCCTGGTCTACCAAGAGCTAGTTCCAGGACAGGCTCCAAAGCCACAGAGAAACCCTGTCTCGAAAAACAAACCAACCAACCAAACAAACAAAAACAACAAGCAGGAGTTAGTCCAGAGAGACGTCGTTACTTCTGGAGCTCACACCTTTGAAAAATGTGAGTTTACCAAAAATACCAAGAAGATCCATACTCCATCTGGGACTATTTGGTTGCATTTGAACTCCCACAAGGACAGTTTGTTGACTTTTTGCGTTTTCATTTTTTTCCTGCTTATCCCCCATCCCGGAAGACTCAAGTCTAGGTTTAATGCAGAGAATGCCGCATGCGTAAGTGTCTGCTGTGTTTCTCTCATGATGTCATCAGGGGGTCATGGTGTCCGTGCTCCGACTGTGGAGGCCTAGGTCCCCGGAGGAATGCTGGTGAATTATTATTATTATTATTATTTTAATATGGAAAGTGGCTTAGCATCTGCTAGGGCTTGAAAAGTGTTTGTGTTTTTTCATTTTTGGAAGCGTCTATAAGTAAACTTCAGTACTTCCTGCTCCTAACGTTTTGACTGAAGATTTCTGCCATGTGTCTGACTAAACCCTTAAAGTTAAACACACTTGGACATTAAGGAGGCTAATAAGCAGGAAAAGCAGGAGAGGAATCATTTGCTTTTGACTTAGTAACCAAGCAGGTGACATGAGGCTGCACACACCTTATGTGTGCACCACAGAGTGCCCTTGCCCTCCGGGACTCGTTCTGACACCCCGATAGGTGAATGAAACTGCAGAGTTCCTAGTTCTCTGAGTGTCTTTCCTCCCTCACTGCCATGACACATAAATCAGGACAATGACAGTACAACAATACTATCAATTTACTCAACCGTCGCCTAAAGCTTATCAATTGCTTATTTCTGGAAATTTGATCTAATTCTTTCTTGAGCATGTCGACCCAAGGTAACGGAGGCGGTAGAAAGTGAGGCCACAGAAGCGGCAGGACCATGAGTCCCACACCCCATTAGCCGAACAGCACAAGCTTCGTGGTATTTAAAGCGATGAGACCTCTGTCTCATTGGTTCACATAAACCCGGCTTGAGGCCTTTGGGAATGCGATTAATTCCGTCTGCATGTTCCTTAATCTGCTGAAGGCTGAGGAGAAATCCAGAACAAGTTCTAACCAGGAAGTTCCTTATACAGCATACGCTGATGTCAGAACCAAGATTCCTGCCACTTCTTGGCCTCCAGTATCTGAGGAGGAGCAAGAAAGCTGGTCCTTAGCCGGAGGCTCTTAGTGTGGCCAGCCTTGTCCTATAGTGTAGGTTACACTGGTGACTTCACACTTGCCTCCCTGGCTGCGTGGGCTCTGGAGTAGGTGGCGTGGCACCGGCTGGCCACGGAGTGACACCGCGTGCCCGAGGTCTTCAGGGAATGCCCAGGGCCTCTCTTCTCCTACTGGCAGTTCCTCACGGAAGTTGGTTGTTTTCGCTGGCCGGGTTACGCTTGCTCGGGTAATCCTCTAATCCTCTCAGATTGCAACACTCGTACACACGATGAGCCTGAACTCTGTGGGATTCAGTAAATCCATAGAGAGTGAGATAAGATGTGCACGTGTGAGGCGAAGTCTGTCGTCGGTTGGCAGAAAGTAGCTGAGCGCAGTTGTGCCGTGGCTCAGAGAAGGCCTTCTGGAAAAGGTGGCATCAGGGCAAACATGAAAGCTATCGACAGGCGTTAGCCCCGCCAGGGTCTGGGGGAAGAAAGTTGCGGTGCAAGGAGACCTGAGGCAGGACTAAGCCGGTACTCTGAGGAGGGTCTGTGGGCTGGTTGAGCTGGAGTTGTCAAGGAGAGAGAGGTTGAGGAAGAGGAGGGCCTTTCAGAAGGAGGGTAGATGTTTCCATGGTGTTAGCAGAAGTGATTAGAGGGCGTAATTGGCCCTGAGGGACGCTTTATTTATAAAAGGCCTGTATGTTTTATGGGAAGAAAGGTTGTGGAGGAATCGTGGGCTTAGTTCTGGAGGTAGGGGGACCAACTGGAGTAATGAACGATGCTTGCACAACGGAAGCTTTGCACCCGCATCCACGCTTCGGCACTGTGTTTGCACACACCATCTTGCTCTGAAGAGCAACGGATGTCGAGCCGTTCAGGAGACTGTTGGCTGAGTTTTCAGTCTTGCCTGGTTCCCACCGTCGTTCAGTCCCAAAGAAATCACACAGAGGTCTACGTTAATTATAACCGGATTGGCCTAGTATCTCAGGCTTCTTATTTACTCGTATACCTTCTATTAGTCCGTAATTCTTATCTGGGTTAGCCACGTGGCTTGGTGCCTTTTTCCGGCGAGGCATGTCACATCTTGCGTCCTCTGCATCTGAGTCAAGACTGCAGACTGAAACTTCCCTCTTCCCAGAATTCTCATTGCCCCGCCTCTACTTCCTGCCTGGCTACTGGCCAATCAGTATTTTATTAAAAATAATGCAAGTGACAGGATAAAAGACCATTGTCCCACAGAAGAAGACAGTCTTGGGGCCCATTGGAAAGCCTTCATGATGGTAGCCTTTGTTTACAAGGTCAGCCCTCACGGGACAAGCTTCTACAGACCACGGATGCAAAGTTTTCTGTGAAGTTAATTCAGCCCATAAATAATGGGGCTCCCTAGGATAGGAGTTACAGGGAGAACCAATGGCGGCATCTCTAAGAACCCCCTCACACCTCCCATTCCCATAGCATAGAGCATACCTGGAGACAAAACGCCGTCTAAAGTTCTGGGACGCTAGGGCTGTGAACCTGCGACCCTGTGCCCTTCAGCTTCCCTGCTGGGACTTTCTCTTTTCCAGGGGTAAATGAATCCCTTCTCAAGGATTCACAGCACACAGTTTTCCATCCCAGCTGCCCCGTTTAGCTCTAGTCCCGTCTGGAGACCTCACAGGAGGTAGAGAGCGTGTGATGTGGGAAGGCCGGGCCTGAGACCTTCCGTTTGGTCCTCCAGCTCAACTGGCAGGACTCCCGGGGTGTGCCCCCGTGTTCTCACAGCCGCTTGAGCATTTCCTAGTTTTGCATCGCATTCTTTGACCTCCTTTTCTACAGCTGGCATTCGATGTCCTGAGACTGTGCCTTTGGGCATGCTGCCCCTGGCCTTGAGCTGTGTGCGTCTCGGCTCTACCCACGGATTCCTCCACCTTGGCCGCCCCACGTGTTCACAGCACAGGTTCTGCTGTCTCCTTTGGGGTCTCACGTCTACGTATACCCTACATTGTTAACTGCTGGTGTCCTGTGCTTAGCAGAGTCTCCCGAGGGTCCTCTTACTGCTTTGGAACCTGGCTCTTGACCTAGATTCTTAGGTTTTCAGCCTGGGCTCTGTGGATGATTTCATCTCTGTGCTCAGAGGAGCAATGAAAGGAGTCCTCACAGTAGAACGTCCTGGGTCGTTACATAACCAAGCTGTCGCTTTGGTGCTGCTGTTTTAGGAGGTGGGACTATGCCCATCCTCGCTTCCACCTGCCACAAAGGATATTCCAGGCCAAGGCAGGCCTATTGAGTTGAGTTGATTCAACATGATTTTCTAAATGGGTATAATGATCGCTAGTAACGATGGTTACCTCATCCTTACTGAACTTTGGTATAAGGGTTTATTCCAGCTTCATTTCCGATTCCCTTAACTGTACTTTGAATAGGGCAAAGGGCTTATTTCTCTGGGTAGCCGCAAGTATTCTCTGCTCCGGTCTCCTATTCCCGAGAGGCACTTCCTGTTCGACACACTGTCTTGGACTCCAAAGAACTTGGTTCAAATTTATACACAGCAGTGGTCTCAGAAAGCGAACCCTGTTTTTAATTCTTTTGTAGCGTTTATCACAGGTGTTAGAGGACCTGTCCCCTTCAGATTACATTGCTGAATGCTATATCAGTGTTATTTGTGCACACACTAAGCCTTACACGTCTCTATTCGGCTCCAGCCAAAGATCTTCTTGGCTGTCGAACTCTCTCTCCATCTTCTTTAGACCCGGTGAGAACTGACTGTATGTCAGTCTGTCGAGAACTGAACTAATCTCCCCTTCTTCTCAGAGCCCTAAGCGCGGGGTAGAAGCTCACCATCCAGAGACCGTCACGTCTTCCTCTCCCTTATCCACCGACTCTCCAAAGTGTGTCTCTTTCTCTCCCCAAGAGCTCTTGCTGTCCTTCCTTCCTCTTCGGTTCACGCCCTAAGAAATTGGGTCCTCTCCTCGCTGCGGGGCCTAGAGATGATAGATGCCTCCTCTCGTTGTGGGTGCCTCTGCTTGGTGATTGGTGACTGTGCTGCCCAGAACTGACTGGACGGTTGAGGGGAGTCCTTTTTGATGTCGTCATCCAATTCCTGCCACATTTGATACTTACCTGAAGTCCTCTGTCTTCTGCGTTCAGGGTGAAGTACGGATTCCTTATGCAGACGTGGCCATTGCTCACCTCCAGCTGAGGTGTCCCGATGGCTCCTGCATCTGCTCAACTCTCTCCTTGCTTCCTCACCCCTGAGCTGAGCCCCCCGTGATTTCGCTCATCTGATGACGCTCATGTTGGTTGTCTCTGGGTCACTGTCTTATCACTTACAACTTTTTCTCGAGTCTTCTGATGGTATTTCTCTCCTAAGAGGCTTCCGCTTCCCTTAACTCTTGGACCGAAGATACGCTGTTCTCTGCGCGTGTATGATGGTCATGTGTCACCTAGGAGTGCTGACTGTGGCTGTGTTTCCTTCAGACAGACCCTTGCTAGGCTGGGAAGAATGAAGGTCTCTAATGACCATGTAGAAGAATTTTGGGTCATAGAATACTACAAACTATGACAACCTCCCTTTGAACGCTTAAAAAAAAACCAAAACAATTACTTAGGAAACCCTAAGTTTATTTTTTATCTTTCAGCTCCAAGATGTAAATCTCTGAAGGAAGCAGACTTCATTGAAACATCTAAGCCAGACTGTTACTGCTACAAGCAAGAGCAAATACAGTGGACATACATGTGGTCGACGGTGCAGGTTAGGCTACTTTTACATCATGCCGTAAGAATGTAAGATTAAAACACACCACTTTGGGATGTAAAGATATATTTTGTATGACTCATAGCTGATGTATCAGGATGAAAGCTAACTCGGGGGGGGGGCAGACGGGGAATTGTACTAAAGGGGTGCAGAACTGGGAAGGTTGGGGACCACGGCTCTGAGGACACAAAGAGGCAGTAATTAAAAGTGATGAGCTCACTCACGGGGAATGTGATGATTCAGAAAGACTGGCTTGGCTGGGGAAGGAGTGCTGTAGGCCGAGGGATAGTCTGCCCTGTCTCAGGACATGATGTCAGCTTGCACCCTTCCTAGAGAATAAGATGTTTGAGGCTCATGCGGTTTCTGGTGCCACCATGCCCAGCATCTTGTACATTTTTCCCGGGAGCTTCTGGGACACAGAAGCTGCAGGAATCCGTCCCTCGCATCCCTGTTCATTCACTCAACTCTTTTCTCCAAACGGCTTCACAACTCCGACACCTCCTCCCGTCTCATTCTTGGCTGATGACCCTTCTGCTTCATTAAAAAAACGGAAAAAAAATATCCTCCGAGGGACAGGAAGTGGAGAGATTGTAAGAGCCAGAGGGGCTGAAAACACCAAGGAAACAGCTCTGAGCCAGGCGGGGTCCCAGCACCGAGAGGGGTAGTATGTACAAGCCCCTGTCTCCACCTGAGATGCTCTCCAGCTGACAGCCGTGGACAGGAGGGGTCAGTTTTCTCCAGTGGCGTCCCACTGGCTATACAAAGCACATTTAAGGGCAGGCCCCATGTCCAGCGGTAGATGGGCAATACAAATGACCTCAATGAATTTTTCTAGGGTCTATTATTATTATTATTATTATTATTATTATTATTATTATTATTATAGGTCTTTTGCTTATATATCCTGTTTTCCAATTCTGTGTTTTTATGGGATTTGTATGAAGGTGTGTCTCTATATGTGTTCCATGGTCTCTTTCTTAGGGTACTTTTTTCTGTTTGTTTTGAGTTTTTTCATTACTTATTTATTTATTTCAGATGGCCGTTTATTTTCTAATCAGAAAAACAAAAGGGTGTGGGTTTGGATGGGTTGGGAAGATCTGGGAGAAGCTGGTTGAGGAGAAACCATGATCGGAATATATAGGACGAGGAAAAAATATTTTCAATTAAAAAAAAATGTAAAAATAAAGATGGAGGTCGCGTAGGAAAAGAAAAGAAATGGAAAGAATCAGGAACGGCTGTGTGCTCGCTTTTTTCTCAGTACCCACCTGTTGGCTCCTGCCCAGACGCTCTGCTCCCTGCGCGTGGGGACGAAATGCCTGCCGGGGAAGAGATGTGTGGTTCCCACCCTCATCTGCCCAGGGCACTTCCTTCTCCGCTGCACGGCTCCTACAAAGCCTCCCGTCTTTCGCCCTGGCTCTTCTCATTTCTCTACTTCTCACTATAATAAAAACCCTCTCAAAAGCAGATGTCTGCCATTCTCCCATCTCTGACCACTTCAGTCACTCAGGCTTGCACCCCAAGGTTCCTAGCACCTCCATGTTGCTAACTTCAGCGTGAACTCAACCTTGTGACCCGTTGCCTCCGAGTCCCAAGTGCTGGGACTACCGCCCGTGCACTGTCACAGCTGGTAAAACGTCCCCCCCCCACCCCACCCCAAGACATCTGTAAACTAACACAGGTGTGTGGCCGCCCAGGACCAAATCTCTGTCCTGCGCTCTGGAGCCTTCTTGCCTCAGCCATTCCTGCGTTGGGCGAAGGGGAAGGTTTGATTCCGCCTGGACTGTCCCTGTCTTGTAGGTGACCGTCGCCAGTCGAGACCTGCTCAGATTTGTGTACATCACCGGAAGTCGCAATTGCCAGCATCCGGAAACCATCCTATCATTTGTCAAATGTGTGATTTATAACTTTTGGGCACCAGAGGAGCTTAAGGGACTGATCATGGTCTTCAGTCCATACGGAGAAACCGTATGCTTCTCCGTGAGGCCCATCGGGAGGGTGTCGACCTACATAGTGAGCGTGGACCGAAACAGTAAGTCTGTTGTCATTAGAGTTGACCGGACACTCAGTAAGTTGACTTTCCTGTTCTCTCTGCGACTGACACAAAATATCTGTGGTGTTTGCGCCTTTTTATTTCCAGATGTGGATCTCAGGCTCCTCCTCCTATTTGTGGCAGGCATTTTTCTCTTCTTTTCTGCAAAGACCTTGAGCCGGTAAGTGCCCATTTTTATACCCATAGTGCTCTGATTCAAAGGTGTATACGTTGTTTCTGACTCTGTGCTGAGCGTTTGTACACCACTGCATGTCTGTGGCTCCTCCAGAATTCACAAATGACAGGGCCGAAGCAGCATAGAATCTTTGGAGATACGCGCATGGTGCAGAGTGCGCTTGCGTACATTAGTTTATGTCTGTGAACTTGGTGCGACTCTTCCTGTGTTGTTGATTACACGAGCAGCATCCCTCGATTCGTTCTCGTGAATGCCGAGGTTCGTACTCAGGTTCTTGCTGCTAGGGACGTGCTGCCTTTCCCCGGATATTGGACGGGACAGATACTTGCTCCCTGGATGCATGTTGCCCTGCTATTTGTTTCTTGTAACTTTCCTATAAAAGCCACTCTCTCGCCAGTGTTTACTTCTTAACCTGCCCGGCCTGCTTCGTACCCGTAATCTCCGTCGTTCTCAGCCTTGTTCACTTCTAAGCTTGTCCTGAGGGTGTGGTCTGGTGTGTGTGGTGTTGTCAGCCAGCTTTTCTGACCGGGTGATGGATCTGCAGCGGGAAGAGGAAAGCCGAGATGCTGATGAGCAGGGCTGCTGTCCTGAGTCATCCAGCAGCCCCCACACTCGGAAAAGCCCTTTAGCTTCTTGGTATCTCGTGTTCCTCCTCTGTAAGATTTATCCATGGGTATCTGGGGATTCGTATGAAGCTCTCAGTCACGTCTTGCTGTGTGACAGGTGCATGCATTTTTGGATCACATTCTGAACACAGACGGTAACTCAGACATTTAACGACAGTCTATTGACTGAAACTTTCAAGTACTGATTTCAATTTAAAATGTGTGGAACGTGATTAGAGTTTTCCTTTCTAAATATGCCTTCCCAACTACTATTGCCACATTGAGCGTTATGATCTTTTTTTTCAGGTTTTTTATTTTTTTTTAACTGAAAGGGCGCTTGTTGTTGATGTGACTTTTTTCTCTGTCTTGACAGAAGCCCTGTTTTCTATTACTCTTCCGGTACTGTGTTAGGTGTGCTCATGACCCTAGTCTTTGTCCTTCTGATGGCTAAGAGACACATTCCAAAGGTAGGTAGGTATCTTACACGCGAATGAGTAGAAAGTGGGATCCAAGCTTTTACAGATACTGAAAAGTGAATAAAAGTTAACTCCCATTGTGACACATCTTAATTCAGGTGTGCCCCTCTGCTGTGTACGCGGACCGCAAAGTCTGTCTGCTTCTGAAAAGACGGTTTGTGTTTATTAGTGAGATATAGGATTATATCGTTGGGTGATATTTTTGTACCCTTTTATGAACTGTATCTTGGGAGAATGACCCTGAGTCTCTGGGGCATTATGTAATAGTGGTGCTACATCTGTTGTTTCTCCTCTACACCTTTTATAAAACAGTGCCCCCAAAGAATAAATTAATAGTAGTTCATGATCGCAATTCTGTGGCGACTTTGGTTAAAGCTCCAAATGCCAGCATTTTATATTTTTTCAGTTGTGCTAGCCAGCTTGGGGTGGGGGCTTGTTAAAATGTAGCTTCTGCTCCAGCAGTGGGGCCCAAGTCTGCATGCCCTTAAGCTCTTAGGTGAGAGGAACCGCGCCCTGGACAGCGAGACTCAGAAAGATTAGAGAAGTCCTCGCTTTGACTGGACCTAGACATTTCTAGAACAGAAAACTGGTTGGCTTCTATTTTTGTGAGAGTGAATGAACCAGTATATATATATATATATATATATATATATGTGTGTGTGTGTGTGTGTGTGTGTGTGTATGTATGTATGTATGTATATATATATATATGTATATACCGTGTCGCTGTTTCCTTCCACACACAGTATAGCACGTTTGGGGCGCTAATGATTGCTTGTTGGTTTGCTTCAGTTTATGTCGGGTGCCAGCTGACGGAAGACCTGAAGAGGCTGAACAGACTGTACGTATTAGGTGGGTAACGGCACAGAAGGGCCCTCTGTCGTCGGCTAGCTCGGGAAGTGCCAGCGGAGGACGTCCCACACGCCTCCATCCGTTTCAGTTTTCGTAGGATTTAAGGAGAGGAGCAATTAAAAATAACACTTTATCGTATTGTCATAGTTGGTGTTTTAGTTCATTTGGCTCCCATTTTGAACTCGTTTCCTCTATAACCTTCGTTTTTTATACAATTCATGGGATGAGTGAAAACGCTCCAGGACCATGGCCGAGCTCAGCCACATCCAGGCTCTGGTGTGAACACTGCACGAGGGGGCTTCCTCGTTGCCTCCCAGTTCTCTCTCTCTCTCTCTCTCTCTCTCTCTCTCTCTCTCGTAGCCAGTGAAAGCTTGGCTTTTCAGAAAGAGAAAGCAGGATTCCCATTTAATCCCCTTGCTTTGTGGTACAAAAACTCTTCGATTTTGTTAGGAAATAATGGGGATTGGAGCCCCATTGATATCAGGTTTCACGTACGAAGACAGTGTGGCTAAGGCAAAAGCGATTCATTCTTAAACACTTTATTTTTAGCCTCCTTTCCTATTATATTAAATTGTTTATAATTTACTCCTAACATGAAATATTGCTCTAAGTTCTTTACTCTGTGTCTCGAAAAAGCAAGAGCATTTTCTATATGACCAATATTAATTGCTGTTGTTAGCGCTAGGGATTGTACCCGGGTGGCATGTATACTCACCGTCTGTGTACCACTGAGTTATAACCTTAGCCTCACTAGTAAATGCTCAAGATTCATAACTGCATAGAATCACCTATTGCCCAGGTCGTATTAAGATCTGAGTTACCCTTGCAGCCTGGAAGTTTAGCCTGGACATGGCGCTGAACCCGATAACTCTCTCCATCCCTCCTGGCTCCCTTCATCACAGGGGTGTGATGGAGAAGCCACGCCAGGCAGCCTGTGCAAGGTCCAGTCTCTGGATGTTTGTGGCGCCCATTTTGGGGCATCATTTAGCCCGTTTATTTCTCTTCCGCATCTGCTGCAAATAAGAAACTGTTGTCAAGGTTTGCTGAGATACAAAGTAGCACTTGTGGCAGGACTCATTAGACGGAGCGTGCACATCCCTTCCGATGGCACTCCTCAGGTGTCACCCCGTTGGCAACGAAGGACTGAGTGTGGCTAGCCAAGGGTGGCGGCCGGATCGCCCCTCTGTAAAATGACGTTCTCTCTTAGTGCGGAGAAAAATGAAAAATAAGGGTTATAGCACTGTGTGAAATCCACTGTCTCACTTTCGACCCTAGCAACCACGAACCATTTGTCCACTTAGGACACTGGGCTTAAAAAAGATATGACTGTATATTATCTTATTTATCAGTACGTATCTTAAGTTATTACAAGTCGGCCTGTCGGGCTGGAACGCCCACTCAGTGGTCTGGAGGGCTTGCTGCTCTCCCAGAGGCCTTGGGTTTGTTCCCAGCACTGGATTGGTTAGCTTACAACTGCCTTCATCCACTTCCTGGCCTTGTGGGTACCACATGCACGTGGATGCAGCCAGACCAATAATCGTAAAACATCATTAGAGTCAGCCTGTGAGCTCACATACAAGGATTGATGAGCATTCCAGCCCGACAGGCCTTCATTAGGAGAAGGAAATTTCTTATTTTTTCTTATTTTTTCAAATTAAGGTTCTCTGATAGATGTTATTTTTCAGTCAAGGCTCTGCCAGATTTCCACATCAGTTCTCAAGTTCACGTTTCAATGCTCGCCCTTCTTCTGTGTCTCCAGGCTATTTCCTGGTTGTTGGGCTTTGTAGCTTTGGTGCCTGCTACTGGCACGGGCCTCTCACCAGTGAGTGGAGCAGAGGCCTTCTGAGGTGGACACTGCGGTTCCTCTCCCTGGTCCTGCTCTACATGGGGGCAGCCGTGCCTCAGTTTGCCTATGCCATCATGGTCCTCCTCCTGTTCTCCCGGAGCCTGCGCTATCCGCTGAGAGCGCTCAGCTATCTGAGGTGGTAGGTATCTTCTCTAACTCTGACATGTAGAGTTCTGTGTTTTATTTATTGTTTTGAGAGATACTTGGGGTTACATCATACGGGTAATTATGTTTAGTCTGGAGGTTTCGCTCTGAAACCACAGGAGGAAAAAGAGCTCTAAGCATTTGCTGCCATCTCCATTGGGTTCTGACACTAAGTACTCAGTAGTTAGAGCCTCACTAAAATCAGCAAAATGGCGTGGGCCCTGCCTAAAATTTCTACCTTTATTACACATTTCATTAGAACCAAGATTGCTGTAGTGGTATTAATTGTGCCATGGGATCAGAGTTAGGAGAAAATGTATCATAAATGATCGGAAGGAGTTACTTAGTTCATTTTGTTAAAGGCTGGCTTTGTTTTAGGTTTTATGTTTAAGGCTTAGGCGTTGTGAAAATACAGAAAGAAAGATACGGCAACTTCCGCTGACACAATGCTATTATGTGTTTCCATAGTCTGTACATCTGTGCCCGGCACACAGGTCGAGACAGCCCTGCTTGTGAAAGTGAGGTGTACGTGTGCAGATATAAGCATGCATTTATATATCTTCTGCCTTAAAAGACTGTGTGTGTGTGTGTGTGTGTGTGCCTGCCATGCTTGTGAGTACCTCGAATGGCCAGAAGAGGGTGCCAGATCCTGTGGCGCCGGAGTAGCAGGCAGTGGTGAGCCACCTGATATGAGAGCAGGCAACCACACCACAGTCCTCTGGAAGAGCAGTGTTGGCGTTCTTACCACTGGGCCGCCTCTCCAGTCCCCGCACTCAAGTATCCTATAAGTATGAAAACAAAGCTTGCTCAGGGACTGACGTGGTGTTAACCTGTGAATGACTTCATTTGGTTGACTCTTAATGACCCAGAGTGAAGCCTGGACAGATGTGTGAAGGGTTTTCCTGCCAGAGAAAGCCCTACCTAGCGCCATCATCAGGCGACCGTGCTGTCGGCGCAGTGAGTGAGGAGGGCTCTAGTCTGGTTCTTCATATGGGGGCTGGTAAGGGGCCAACCTATATGCATTTCCGTTAGTTCTCCCCATGCCTGCCTGCACAGAATGTGTACATCCAAGCACTCGGGTCCAGGCAGGAGCGAGGCAGTGGGTGGCCAAGAGCACTGTGGGAAACTCTGCAGCCCCGCCGCAAAGGCAGTAGTTAAAGTATTTAAAGGCAGGAGGAGCTGATGGTTGCCGTGTGCAGATGTGATGCTGCTGTCGGCCCGCAGATGCAGACGGGAATTCAACTGTAACCCGCCCAGTACAGATGTTGGCAGTTAATCTGATGAAAAATAGAAAACACACCTGAGAGATGAGAATTATACGTGCGACAGTGAGCACTTGGCTGGTGGGACAGACCCATCTGCGGTCTGGCACAGGGGGTAGGTGATCGGGGCAACTCCTGTAGGAGAAAACAGTCTTAGACACGGCTGTGGTCCACGCAGACACGTAGGAGAGTGAGGTGAAGGCTGGTAAATGGGTTAATGGTTGTGAGGAAGGAGACTCCATGGCAACGGGTGGCAGTGTGTCCACTGCAGCGCAAACATCAGTGACAGCCCAGGGTGCCCAGACAGGGGGATGGCAGGCTGAGAGGTACCAGTGGGAGGTCAAGAGACCTGGGGCTTCTATCCTTGCTCTGCTCTGGGATCATCAGAGGTCCCTCTACCAGGAGGAGGCTGGCCACTGCGGAGCCTCCCGGCCACCATCTTTGCCAGGCTGTGGCCCCAGGCATCCTGGGTAGAGCTCCTTTCTCCTTCCCTTAGGCACCCAGTTGTCTTACCAGTAGCAAGTGTGCTCTCGTCCTTAGCTGGGTGGCTCCGTTATTCATCCCTGGATCTTTCTGTAACAATCCATGCATACTGTTACAGTGGCTACTTTAAATTTTGCTAAAGAATAGTTCTATGGGGGCTGGAGAGATGGCTCAGAGATTAGGAGCACCGACTGCTCATCCAGAGGTCCTGAGTTCAATTCCCAGCAACCACATGGTGGCTCACTACCATCTGTAATGAGGTCTAGTGCCCTCTTCTGGCCAGCAAGCATACACACAGACAGAACACTGTGTACATAATAAATAAATAAATCTAAACAAACAAACAAAAAGAATAGTTCTATGAAAACCCAGGGACTAAAGCAGGAACTTACAAATTAAATAGACCAGAGAAAGAATGTCTTGATATCTGCATCAGACTCGCTGGTTTGTAAAAAGCTGCTTACATATTATATATATGTTAATGATATGTACTAGCTATTCTTTTGATTAGCTGCTGAGCAATTTGTACAAATGTCCCATTTCACCTACACAGTAACTCATGAGACTGTGATAGGACTGGGAAGAGATTGGCTAGTTCAGGCCGTGAGTGCACCCTCAAGCTGGGTTGTGCCCTGGTTTTCTGGGCCAGAGTCTGGGTTTTCCTGTTGGAAGCCCGGCCAGGTCCTCAGAAGAGGAAAAAGAAGCAGTCTCCCTGGTTCCTCAATCCAGCTTATCAACCATTAGCCGAACCTTCCAACGGAAGAGACGGTCTCAGCCCTCAAGGGAAAAAAAAAAGTATGTTTTTAACCCTTGGAAGTCTGTGTGAGAGGTAGATCTGAAGCCACCGCAGACATTTCTAAGGCCCACCAACAAATGTTATTTGAAACTGTATCACGAATATGTCCTTACTGGCATCTTGAATTCCTAAGTACAGATGGCTATATTATTGTGATATTTGTTACTTTTCTGACTGGGAAAGAAAATCTAGTCTCTGGCTTCTTAGTGCACCTGTAGCCAAAGATGAACTGATAATAAATTCTTTTCCACTCTGCGTTGGCGGGCTCCACCACTAGGTGGAGCAAGAGCCCACGGCCCAGCTTCCTGTAGCGAGCTGTGGATGTCCCCCATGATCTCCATAAAAGGACATACTAAACGCTTGTTTCTGTTTGTGCCAGAGAAAATCAGCAGGCAAAGAGTACGGAAGCCAGACTTCTTGTCTAGTCGTATGATTAGGAGTCACTAAAAAAAAAATTATACTCAACATCTCAATCAGAAATTGATTCTCAGAAGCCTTAGGAAATTGCTATGATGTTCAGAGAAGACAGTAGGCCCCTGCCTGTTCCCGCTCCTCAGTCATAGGACCGTGGAACACATAGGGTGCTGTACAAGGAGTTCAGAGGTAATATTGTTGATGTCTAAGATGTGTATTTTTACATCATAAGGATTGGATTGGACGGGACTATGACAACCAGATGTCATGTGTTTTAGGAAAATGAGGCCATGGTTCATAAGAGAACCTCCAGTCATGAAGTATCTCACCGAGGACGAGTACAGGGAGCAAGCTGAGGCTGAAACAGCCGGCGCTCTGGAGGAGCTGCGCCGTGCCTGCTCCCGGCCTGACTTCCCTTCCTGGCTGGCTGTGTCCAGGCTCCAGGCTCCTAAAAAGTGAGTCCTGCTCTGGCCGCGGCTCATGCGCTGAGTGGTGTGAAAATCACACATTTCTGCTTAGCAGCAACCTTCTCTCTTGGTTACGCCTTATGTCAGAGTTGTGGGAGAGCATCTAAGGCCTGAGGAAATATGGCCCTCAGGTGGATGGGGTGAGGCATTGACACTGAGGTCCGAACATCACACCACACTCACAAGGGGCAGGGAAGAGATGCATGAGTGACTGGATCCGTCCGGCTGTGGTGGGGGGCCTCAGAAACCCGCACACATCCCCCCTTCCCCTGCACGGCTGTCTCAGCCGACACAGTCAGGTTCCACTGAAGGGGACAAGCAGCGAGGCGCATGTTGTCTTTCAGGTGAACCTCTGTGACCACCTTCCCTGTTTTAAAATTTCACAGGTTTGCAGACTTCATTCTCGGAGCGAGCCACTTGTCCCCCGAGGAAGTCAGCACACACGAGAGGCAGTACGGCCTTGGGGGCGCCTTCTTGGAAGAACAGCTCTTTAGCCTTCGTGCTGACAGTCAACCTGCAAGCTGACTTCAGTGTGGACGAGGGATCGGGTAAAAGGCAAAGATCCTCGTACAGTGGGGCAGTGGGAAAAGCGTGCACCGCTAAGGAAAACAAGCCATGCGAGTGAGGAGAAGCACGCAAGCGTGCGGAGAACTCGCCTCGGGCAGCCCGCTTACTGCCCCGTAGGTGGCATAAGGACCCTAAGAATCATTGCCGCTTGCCCCAAATGAAGACAACTTTTGTTAGAACAGCGGGACTTTAGGACAGTAAGCAAGGTCAGATACCATCCCAGCGCCGGGCTCTAGCTTCTATCTTGATGCCGTGAAGCTGGCTCAAAAGGCTGCCTCGTTCTCTCTCCATTTCTTGATAGCAGTGTTTTCTAAGGTGCACTCCGTGTGGTACTAGTTAGGGCTGATAACGGGTTCCCGCGCCGGCACGGTGGACCCTGTCCCACCTAGCAGGTTCCTCCATCTTCAGCGCAGTGAAGGCATCATGGGTCTGAACCGCAGACATCGTGCACCAGGGCTGCAGACTGACTGACCAGAAATCATTTTCCATGAGATGAATAATTGTTAGAACATGCTTGGAGGTTCGGGTTTGAGAGGTGTGTCCTCAGCCACCTTGGCCGCGCGCCAGCCCTGGTGCACCCTGAGACTTGGGTGGACGACCATCTTCAGACGGAGGGTCGGGGCTCTGTCCTCAGCAGCCTTGGTCTCACCGTGTTGGTGCCTCCATTTTTGTCTATGTTGCTTTTTTTAGAAAAAAAAATGACCAATTAGCTATTTAATAACTAACGGAAAAAAATTTCTTAGGATTATATTTAATGTTTTCACAAGATTTCATATGCAGACAGATTATAATTTTTGTACTTTTATATATTAAATGTGAAAGCAGGTAGCCATGTGTGACATTGAGATTTATTTTTTAAGCTGCTTTTATATGTTTGCGATGGTTTCTCACAAAACAGATTTTGATGCTCTTTTTTTTAATAGAGAGAAAATGTTTGTTTCTTGATCCAGGATAAACTCCAACATGCAATAAGCCACTAACTGGTTCTACCCCAGAGAAAGGAGCAAAAACGGGTCTAAGGATTGACAAGGGCAAGCATTCTATGAAGGAGGCGCTGGCCTGATTCTCTGAGCACCAAATGCAGGCTCGTTTTTGTTGTCTTTGTTTTTGTACTGCAATGATAAAAACATGAGAAGCCGTCCTGTATAAAGAAAGGCGCGGTGAGGGGGACATAAGAAGTGGTCACTGTCGTTTCTTGAGAGCTGCGAACTTCATGGAACTTTCTAGATTGACTCTCACATGATCTCTTTGAAGCAGTCGTCAGTGGTCCTGGATCTGCTTTCCACAGGCACATTTAACATTAGGAGTCTTGTTCCTTTCCTTAGAATCGTTAACTCAGGGCAGTCTGCGCCTTTACAGACTTTAAAAAGCCAAAGAATGCGGTGTGGGAGAGGTGCTCAGTGGATTCCCTGCCTTGCAGAGGACCTGGGTTCCGTCTCCATCACCCACATGGCGTGGCAGTTCCGGGTGATCTGATACCCTCTGACTCCGCAGGCACCGGGCGTGCATGTGTCGCACATACATGCACGCAGGCAGAACACTCAGGCATAAAATAAAGCTTTATTTATACAAACTGTCAAAACGACGTGCCTCTGTTCATCTTGGCACCTGACCGTCTTGCCGGTATAGACGAGCGTTCTGGCATGATTTGGCCACAGCTTACTCTGGTTTTCCTTTTCTGTACCTTCATTTATCGGTGCTATATTGTAACGTGTCGGGCGTGTCCAGTGCTGTGCGTGGCTGTGTTCACCCCTCACTAAGCGGTCTGTCTAATATTGACTGTGTTTGTGTGTGATTGACACGGCAGCACCCGCTGCTGCGCCCGCCCACACCGCTGCGCCCGCCCACGCCGCCATCCTGAGCCACTGGAGACCGTACCATGAGGAAGCAGCTCCAAAGGAGGCGAGCCCCCGCAGCCACAGTGAACACAGTGGCAGTCTTTCAGGGTACTGTTTCCGCACTTAAGTTTTGGAAGGAATCATGGATCTGTCCAATTGTTCTGTGAGAGGCCAAACAATTAAAGCATTTCTGGTAACACGTTTGGTGGCTTGTGCCATTGGCCTGTGTCTTTTCTCACTCGGTGCACCAAAGGCTGAAGGATTTCTGGATGGGTAGTCACGGTTTTCCTTTCCTGTAATCGTCTCTCACAGAGTAACTCGGGTCCAAGGGGCCTTGCAGAAGTGGGAAAAGTGGAGGCCATGAAACTTCCCACAGGTGATGTCTTCCTGTTGGCTGTATGCCATCTAGTACGGCAGTTTGCACTACAGGAAGAGGTTTAAAATTAGAATCCAGTTCTTCAGAGACACTAGCCACAGGCCAAGGTTAAGGGTACTCGTCCTGGTACCGCAAAACCAGAGAATTCTACAGTCTTCTGGAAGTTCTGTTAGGCAAGGCCGTTGCTTGGGATGCTGAGTTTGAATGTGTTAGGGATTGTCTATTAGTCCAGAATAGAAACAAGCACACATAGGTTTCAGGCACCCACGACTCAGGGCTGGGCTGTGTATGGCTTGTATTGATGCAAGGAACAAGTGGCCTCCCCTCCCACGAGGATGGAAAGGTTGTCCCGCCCCCATGAGGATGGGAAGGTGCCCCTCAGGAGGATGGGAGGATTGTCCCCCCCCCCCACGAAGATGGGAAGGCGGCCTCTCCCACGAGGATGGGAAGATTGTCCCCTCCCATGAGGATGGGAAGGTGCCCCCCAGGAGGATGGAAAGGTTGTCCCCTCCCACGAGGATGGGAAGATGGCTCCTCCCACGAGGATGGGCAGGCTGCTGTCACTAAGAATGGAGCCCAAGTCCTGGCTCTGGCTGTGGTCCCACAACAGGCTCTGCTAGCCTCAGAATCTCCTATTTTGAATGAGGGTGGTGCTGTGTACCATGAATGATTAGCTCAGCACAGGGAACACTAACCAGGGGTGAGCTTCTGTTTCTGCAGGTGCTTCACTTACCAGCTACGCTGGGGGTGATTGCTTCAGGCGTGGTCCCAGGAACAGCTGCAAATGACCGGTCCTGGCCACCACAGCAGGGTTACTAGGACAGCAAGGTCACACTGTCCACGGCTCTGACTTTTCGGGTGTGCTGTCTTTTGGAGCGTACTATTAATCTGCTTACGGCTTTATAAATAACAGCAAGCCAATCAGGGTCCACACAGAACCCGGCTAACTGTTCCTGCAGGCTAGGGGAACAGGACAAGTCGTTAGAGCCGTGATTACCAGCCTGAGCTTTGACACTTCTGTTTCCAGGGCTCCCCAGAAGGGTTATAGAACTCTCAAATCAGGTTTACTTTGAATTGACTTTAATGTCTTTAAGTGGTGTATGGCACTTTTAGGACAGGAAGAAAAAAGTGACAAAGTCCACAAACTCGTGAAGGTGTCAGCTCAGAAGGCTGGAAATGCCTGCATTGCTGGATCAACGCTCGCAGTAAACATTGTGTATCAAAGGCATGGTGAGTTTGGGGTTATTCATCACAGAGCAGAGGATTTACACTCGTTTGGTCACGTGGTTTTCATTTAGGAAATATTTAAAAATGGTATTTACTTTTTATTTCAACACGTCCACTGGGCATCTCCAAAAACGGCAGGGCTTTTCAGAGAAATGAATCAGAACTGTAAACACAAGATACAAGGTTCTGGCTCCCTACCGTGGGTTACAAATCCACACGCTCTACATTCAAAGGTGGGGCTCAGCCTGGCCCCCACTTGGCTTCTGCAATTTACTCGAGCACAATAAATCCGTCCGATTTTAAAGGTCACTTAAAACGAGTCATGGTGATTGACAGGTACAGTACCGTTCAAGTGCAAAAATAACCACCTGCTTAGCGCTTCCCATCACTGTGAGCTGTGTCACCTAGGCGCAGAATGAATCCTCCTAGATGTGGAGGCAGGCAGAGCCGTCACGGGGAAGCCGTCACTCAGGGTCAGAGGTTAAGGCGACCTTCCATTTCTGACCTTTCTCTCACGTTCATCCTCAATGCCCTTAGCTCAGCCACAGCCACCACCCCCTTCCACCGGCCTCCCAGACAGCCTCTCCTTTCCTTGCAAGCCCGATGTCTGGTGGTGAAGGGTATTGCTGTCACCCAAACCTAAAAGCTCCAGTGTATGACTATGGTTTGGGGGAGAAGAACAAACTTTAGATTTGTTTCTGAAGTCATGAGATAAGTCTTTCTGGTTCCCACAATTCCCCTTCCTGGCTTCCTGTTTAGTACTTCACAAAACAGACCTAATCCATGATTTTTGAACACAATGTCCTTCCCCCAGGCACTTAAATCTTATCCTTCTCTTTGTAGATAGTAAGTTTTAACTTAAGGGATCCTTAGGAACCCAGTGAGGAAGCCAGGTCGCTGTGAGACAGCGACAGGCTGTCACAGTAGCAGCTGCACTGGAAAGCCCACGTCCATCAAGTCTTGGGACAATGACTTGGACGGATTCTTTGCCATATCCTCTCAGTTTTGCTCATTCTCCCAGCCCACTGAGACAAAGGCCTTTTAAAGCTCGACGCTATGCAGTTGTAACAGCTCTGAGACCTCCCTTCCCTACACACCATATGCATATAAAAATATATTTGCTAGAGATGTGCAAAGGTCAGCGAAACTTTGAACTTTTCTAAACAACAACAACAGAAAAAAAAGCGTATGTTCTACTGACTTCCATCTGGTTCCCTTTTAAATAGGTCTTCTAATTTTTAAAACGCTTTTCTTCAAGACAAGTAAATTCATAGGTACACTCTTCATCTCTCTTTGCACCGAGACCCCAGTATTTAGAATAAATAATCAGAAGAGAGAGTTGATGTCACGGGTCACCTGGAGACCTGTTCGTTCTCCTCACTTGGTGTGAGTTCTGCTTCCCACCCTCAGACCCTGGCAGAGGCGTTAGCTCAGACCTAACCCACCAAGAGCAGGAAGTCCTCACCCACCACTGCTCTGAGTCTCTACAGGACCGTAGCTCATGTGTGCGTGGTTCCACAGTAATGAGTTTAGCTACTTAGAAGCATGTGCGGCGCGGTGCTCCCCTCAGGGAGGCATGTCCAGGGTGAGGGTCTCGCCCTCTGAGTCCTGACTGAGGTGTCTGGTGCCATGCAGGGTGGATGATGATCAGGGGCCCTTCAGTGTTCTCCTGCAGTGGGCTGAGCCTGCTGCTCCCCACTTTCCTCTACATGGGGGGCAGTGCTGGGGTGAACGGAGCTGGGCTGCGGTTGAGATGCTGCTGTGTCAGGGAATGGCTGGTTTCTGGGTGGGTCAGAGCGAGTCTCACGGGGGACGTGCTGGGCTCCACCAGTTGCAGAAATTTCCCGATTCTCACTGGTCCCCTGGAAGGAAAAAGCAGAGGTGCCATAGTGGACGAGAAAGAATACATCCAACCCATTATACACATTTTCAAGTAAGAAACAATAAATGTACAGCCATCTCTCGTAAAGCCCCACTTCTGGAACCAAGGCAGGAATGAAGGGTCAAGATAGACATCTTACCTTTCGTTTCCTTTCCTAGGTACAACTGCCAGAGCCGCATGAAAAACACAAACACTGTAAGCAGACATGCCTATGGCTAAAGGGACGTCTTTCTCGGTGCTCTCGTCACCAACAGGCAAACAACTTACATTCATAAAGATTTACTGAGTACCCAGCTCTGGGGCAAGTCATGAGGCCAGGGCCACAGGATGCCCGAATGCCGGTCACCGTCTAGCGGTGAGCAACGGAGGGCCCTCAGCCTCAAGACAGCGGGCAAAGAAACCCTGACGTACATGCGGGATGTGCAAATAAACACAGAAAACTAAGGAAGACAGAGCAGGCGTGTGAAGACGCTCTGTGAGGCCAGCGGGGAGGGAACTGAGGCACACACGCAAGTACGGTCACGTAAGATGGCACCAGCGAGGGGCCAAGTCGGGGGACATGGCTTTTAGACATTGGCACGTGCCACCTCCATTTCCTATGGTTGAATTAAAATGTTTCCTTTCATTTCATTTATGAAGGAAATATAATTTCTTCATGACAACGCTATGCCATAGCTGTTAGTTCTTATCCATTTTAACTCTTATTTGAATGAACATTAATCGAATTTCATGGGGGGGTGGAACGCAAGCCTTCGTGCTGCAAAGGCGCTGGGCGTCTCTGAAAATGAAGGTGAGTTCACCAGTACTGAAGCATCGCCTCCCGGGAGCAGGGCACCCGTTCCCTGTCTCACCTTCCCGCTCTGAGGTCTGGAACCTCCGGGCGTCCTTCCGTCTCTCACGCCCAGACTGGGCTCCACAAATGAGTTAGGAGGATTTTGCCCACAGTGGCATGTTTGTGGCTCCCAGCAAAGTGTCAGTTTCGGTAAAACTGGGCAATGACTTTACAGTCAGTTAATAAAGCCAAGATTAATTAGGGTGGTTGACAAATTTGCCTTTTTTCATATGACGGTGTGTGTGTGTGTGTGTGTGTGTGTATGTTTTTTAAGTTGGTACATGGGTACCTGCACGTGACTGCAGGCGTCCATGGAGGTCATAAGATTCCTTGGAGCTGTGAGCCCACCTGTCAGGGACGCTGGGAACCAAGGGCGGGTCATTTGCAAAGACAGTGGCCTTGGCCCAGCCATCTCTCTAGTCAACTGCAGTATGTGAGATTTTTTTTTTTTTAAAGAAATTACTGTCTGTCTTTCCTCTTATTTTTTTTTCTTTCTGGGTTATTTTTTAAAGATCACATTGACCTGTTCGTTTGTTTTAAAGTATGTGCAGGTGTGCAGTGGAGTGAATACGGATGTCTGGGGATGACTTATGGGGCTGGTTTGCTCCTCCCTCTGGGCGGGTTCCTGGGATCTGTCAGGCGTGGGGACAAGTGCTTTCACCCAGGGAGCCATCCCGTTTGCCCTCCTCCTCTGGGTCCTTTAAGCTACTGTAAACATAAGAGCTGACTGTTGCTTATCAAGAAAAGATTAAATATACCATGGGGGAGGGGTAGGTAGAGCTACCGCCCTGACCAAACTATCCACAGAGCCTTGGTCTCTCTCCAGAGTCAGGAAGTAGCTTTGTTCATATAATTGATGATTTTATCAGAACCATCTGACTTTTCTCGGGAGAGACTGCTCTTTAGGGACAAAAAGACTCTGCTTTTTACCTCTAGTGAGGCCTCTCAAAACCCACACTTCACTTAGTCGGGTAGCAGACAGAGCCATACCAGACAGATTTAGGGGGTTAATTTAGCAGCTGGTACGCGTAATGATGCCCCTGGAAGTCTGAAATTATAGATATATAAGCTCTTCCAAACGTAAGAGCTGTGTATTCTGGTTACAACTTGCGTTTCCTACTGTTGGAACATAAGATAAGTATCCAAGGCTGGAATAGATTTACATTCTTTTTTAGAACCACCAATTCATTTGGGAAGCCTCTCTGAGCTCCATAAAGAAAGTTCTCTTTCTGGTGGGACCTGGTGAGCTTCTGTGACAGTCACCCCCAGACGACTAGAACCCTCTGTCTGCGCGTCTGTTTTCCACCAGGCTTTCTGCGCGTTCTGAGGACTAAGGAGGAAGCTACAGTGTACAAGGCCAGCAGAGGCTACCTGTAAAGGCTGGATCTCCGATGCCCGGCTGTCTCTTGTCAGTTGGATCATCTCCTTAACCTGGTAGAGGGCATACACAAAGGTCACCCAGGGAGAGGAGCTGACCCCCCAGGCTGGTTTGTTTACGTCCTCCTGTTCTTCCTGGTGCTTGGTTTTCTTGGGCGGAAGTCTGGGCTCAAGGCGAGGTATGACATCTTCGGCCTGTTGCTGTACCAGGTCGATGGTTGCTATGGGAACGGGGCTAGAGGGAACAGGAATCCTTTCTGCCAACATTGTCTTGTCTAGAGAGAAAAGTAAATGTTAAGATTATTTTCAGCCTTTTCTACAGGTTTATAACAAAGAAAATGATCCTGGTGTTGTGTGGTGCTCTGCTCGTGGCCCGAGGCTGAGAACAACCCCCACCAGTCTTGCTCTTGAGAAGCTCAGTGAGACTCAAACGCTCCTCTGAGGTTCTGTAATGAGCCTTGTTTTCTCTTTCCAGAAGGAGAACAGCCCCGAGGCCAGGGCTGTGGGAAGGATGGAGGCCCTAAGACAACCAGCTCTGTACTGGCTACAGTGCGATCAAGAACATGTATATTCTATTGTGACCTTATCGTCAAAAGCTCTGCATGACACGTTCAGTCATCTCCGTCTGATGTCACCTTCCTCCCTTTAATTTAATTTAATTTAATTTTTTAAAATCAGGCCTGGAGAGATGGTTCAGATGTTAAAGGCTAGGCTCACAATTAAATGTCCAAATAATTGATTTTTTAGATGTATTTATTTTTTTTATTTTTTTATTTTTTTTTTTAGTTTTTCGAGACAGGGTTTCACTGTGGTTTTGGAGCCTGTCCCGGAACTAGCTCTTGTAGACCAGGCTGGCCTCGAACTCACAGAGATCCGCCTGCCTCTGCCTCCCAAGTGCCGGGATTATAGGCGTGCGCCACCACCGCCCGGCTTTAGATGTATTTATTTTTGTGCGTGGTATTTGTAGGCACAGGAGTGCCATGGAACACGTGTGAAGGCCGGAGAGGCCCACTTGAAGGAGTCAGGTTCTCTGCTTCCACTCTGTGGATCCCTGGGCTTGAACTCGGGTTTCCAGGCTTGGCAGCAGGTTCCTTTACCAGCTCCTCCTTCCTTTCTGTATGATGATTTCAAGAAAGGCCATGCCTTTCAGGAGAAGCATCAACAGACATATTTTTAATGAAGGTAAAGATATCAAGATTAGTAAGAGCACCCTTAACCCTAGCAGTAAATTACCATACAGCCTTGTATGTATTTGCCTTAAATTTTAACGCTCGTAAGAATTCGGGGGAGGGTTAAAACTCACGCTTCCATGGCACCTTGTGGTGTTACATAAAACAAAACCCAGAAGCCGGGCAGTGGTGGTGCACGCCTTTAATCCTAGCACTCGGGAGGCAGAAGCTGGCGGATCTCTGTGAGTTCGAGGCCAACCTGGTCTACAAGAGCTAGCTAGTTCCACGACAGGCTCCAAAGTTACAGAGAAACCCTGTCTCAAAAAAAGAAGAAGGAGGAGGAGGAGGAGGAGAAGGAAGAGGAGGAGGAGGAAGAAGAGGAGGAAGAGGAAGAGGAAGAGGAAGAGGAAGAAGAAGAAGAAGAAGAAGAAGAAGAAGAAGAAGAAGACTTTTAAAAAAAGCACAGAATTTATTTTGGGGGGCTGGAGAGATGCTCAGCAGTTAAGAGCACTGACTGCTCTTCTAGAGTACCCGAGTTCGATTCCCAGTACCATATGGCAGCAGTTACAGTTATGTCTGTAACTCCAGGATATAGCACCCTCACACAGATATGCATACAGACTGAAACACCAATAAAATAAATAATAATAATTAAAAAAAAACAAAACAGAAAACACAGCTCAGCAGCCGGTCTCCTCATTACAGAAGCCCATGGGGAAGGCGCTGAGAACAGGTCGCCTGGTCCTGCTTGGTCACGGTACAGCCAGGGTTCTCAGAACCACCAAGAAAAAACTGGAGCCAAGGCTAGCTCACACACACCTGTAGTCCCAGCACCAAGAGACTGCGGCACGATTGCCGACTCAAGGCCATTCTGTACTACCTAGAGAAGGCCAATTTCAAACCCTTAGCCCTCCACCCTTGCGCCCAAGAACAAAAGGAAAGAGGCCATGCTCACCTTCTTCCTCGTCCGGCACTGCCAGCCACTGGATCAGGGCAAAGAGCAGCAGGATCACCAGGCAGGCCATGCCAATCCCCCGGAAGGTTGCAGCAGCCCCTTGAAAACAAGCAGAGCAGGCCTGGTGATCCCAGGAAACGCGACAAACCTTTACCGGCCTAACATTTGGAGGCAGAAGAAGCCCAGCTTCACTGAGTGGAGGAGTCAGTGGCCCATTAGCTCCCTGCAATGGGAGAGCACAGGGTGGCCTCAGGAGTCCCTGGTGCTTGTTCTGCTCAGGGAAGGCCTCTCTCTGAGTAACTCCCATCTCTGCACGGTACTCAGTGGGGTGCTGTTTTTGTACTTAGCAACCTGTTAACAAACAGCACCGCCAGTCACGTAAATAGAGCTGTAAATTCGCACAGCCCTGGGAGCCTTACACAGAAGACTGAGCACTCCAACCTGGACCAGAGTACTCTGGCTCTTGTCAGCTGACGGATAGGGATGCGGCAGACTGGCGGTGATGTCGTCTGTGTGCACCAGGGACGACTTAAGTGGCCACTGAATACTTCAAGGTTTTTGGGTCACGATGATGGGTTCTATTTCTTCTGTGTCACGAGCAGATGCCCGGTACCTAACAACTAAAAAGCCACTTGTGCTTGTTCCTTCATTTGGCTCTTCTGAGGCTACTGTAGCGTTCCACTAAAGCCGTCTGCCGGAAGAGTGTGTTATGAGCTGGCTTTAACCACCTTCCCAACCTAAGCATGGGCTTTACAATTATGACGACCGTGCGGTGTGAAAAGAGAGGATAGGGAGATTCAAGCTGAAGTTCGGCATGGCTGGAAAAAAAAAATAATAAAAGCCTACTTTCCTGAAAGGAACAAAAGAAAAACGATTCTTACCAAAGTAGTTGACTAACACGCCTCCAATCATAGCACCGCATCCTCTCCCCAGCCCCAGGTGAAGGCCTTGCAGGATGCCCTGCGCAGACGTCCTCAGCTCGGGGGGCACGGCAGCACTGAGGTACGAGATGCACGCCGCCCAGATGGCCGCATGTGTGACCCCTGCAGAAGAGGAGGAGTGGGTGTGAGCGTCTGCTCAGCATCCCTGCCATCACACTTTTTTTTTGCAATGGGAATGACTTCATAAACAAGGGACCTATTATAATATATGGATACACTATGCATATCTAAACACATATACATGCTTTATAATAAAACATGCATAACCAATGTATCATTTAAGCCATCTCAATTATAGTATTTTTATGCTTTGAGAATTTCATACAAGCGCTGTAGGAATTCCTACCACCAATACCCTTTAAGTCACCCGCCCACTTGGGCATGGCCTCTTATTCTATTTATGCTGATGTAAAGTGCGCATCCGCTCTCTTTTCTGGCTGCAGGATTCGATTGTTGTTCTCTGTTCCAGCAGAGGATATTGATCTGTGTGTCTACCCCTAAATAAATAACCCTCTATTGTACTCAATTCTGAGTGAGTGTGGGATTTCTTTTAAGCGTCCTTCTTCATTCAAGCATGTAATGCATGTTTGATGATCATTTTACCTGTTTTTAAACATACAGTTCAGTAGCATTATGTGTTCAGTAGCATCACGGTGTTGTATGTACATCACCGTTACCATCTCCTTAACTATTTTAAACAGCGCACCCGCTACCCCTCAGGCCATTCCATAGCAAGCACCATTCTTCTCATCCCTGCTGATGTGAAGATTCTGGGTCTCTTGAGTAGAGTCAGAACAGTATTTATGTGTCTGGCGCGTCTCACTTAGCATAACGTCACTGAGGTCTGCCCACGTTGTAGCTTGTGTTCGGTGGTTCACCACGCACCACACACAACCTCGGCTGCATGGCTAGAGAAATCATGCCAGGAGGAGCTAAAAACCTCCTTCTCTCCCTTTTCGGGTCCCAGGAGGCACTCCACAGGCTGCTGGGGAGAAAACATCAGTACCCAGCTGTGAACCCTATAATCTACAGTTCCAGTCTTCCAAGGAAGATGGGCCCACTTGCTCAGCCGTGGGACTACTATGAGGGTAACCAACTGCTCTTGGTTTGGATCTGGGGCCTGATGCACGGGGAACCTGGTGCTATACACATGGTCCAAAAAAACATGGTTGGGAAGATTCTAGATCCTAGGGGCAGTTGCACACGATTGTTAAGCTAAACTGTCACAGTGTCAAGCTGCCTCGATCAATATTACGCTTATACCCCGAAGAGAAACGCTACTATCGTCCTTTAACAGAGAAACTTCTTTCCAGTGAATGGCAGTGAAGGTCAACATGCTGAGAATGAGTGATAGACAGGAAGCCCTAAATGTGACGTGCATGCCACCGCTGCTAAGCCTCAGGGAGCACTGCAGAAGAGAGGGAGGGAGGATGCAGAGCCAAATGGCAGGGCGCAGGACAGCAGGATGCTGCCTTCTGGAGCTGGTGCAGCTGTGGCGATCGTGAGCTCACAGCTGCTCTGAGCACAGCGGTGCTGCCTAAGAAAGAGCCCCTCACAGTCGGGAATACACAAGGAAGGCTCAGGGGCCCTCCTGCCCACACCTGAGAGCTTGCTACTGATACGAGCCAGGCAGAGGGGAACCCTGCTGTAGTTAGGCACACGCACACACTGATGACCCCCCCCCCCCAACCCCGATGGCACACAGATGGGCCCTGAGTAAATTCAGTGTGTCACCAAACCAAACCCAAAGTCATGAACCTGGGAAAAAAGACTGACAGAGATGAGGTCTGGGGCAGGGGGTGACAGGATGGAAATGAGAGGGCACAGGGTAGAGAGAGCATAATCAGAATACGTCACACACGTAGGAAACTGTCCAAAACAAAAATTAATATGAAAAGAATCTGTCCTTTTAAAGGCCGAATACTAGTCCATTGCAATAGACCACATATTGTTCCTCTGCCGATGGTCTCTCTCTGAATTGTTTTCACCTCTTGGTTATTATGAATACTATTGTTTAAATGTTGATGTTTAAGTGTCTTCAAGTAGATTCGTGTACACTGGGATTTACACAGCAAGAAGTGGATTCTCCAGTTCAGGGGGTGCTTGTTGATTTTAACATTTAGAAGATCAGTGGTTTTCCATATCCTCCTCTCCCCCGCCCTCCAGAAATCTGAAGTTCACCAGCCTCTCTGCCTTCTAACCAGAACTTTTTAAAACATTTTTCTTCAAGTCCTAACCAGCACCCCACTGTGCTTACTTGCCTCTCTGGTCAGCACTATAGAATACCTTCTGGTGTTGATTGGCCATTTACGGATCTTTGGAGAAATATTGAGTCCTCTGCTCGGCTCTGTTGGGACACACACCATTCCTAGCCTCAGAAGAAAGAGCACAGGAGAGTTTTCTGTGGTCATACTCGGAAAAGGAAACCCAGCAGGGCTGCACTGTTTCCAATAAGCTAGCCATATCTCAGAAACAAATCTGTATTTACAGGAATACAAATATGCCCAGCGCCGAAACGGCAAATCTTAATTCACAGTGTGTGGCGTGCAATAAAAAGGTCACATGGGCTGGCCATGCTTAAGAAGGCCCAGAAAGGGATAAACTCTATTTTCATGTTAGATTGCATGTTTCATCATTAACTTAGAAACATTAAAATCATTTTCCTGTTTCTCATATATGCTTCGTTCATCATTTCAAGGAAGTAGATTTGGGGGTTGTTTGGTTGGTTGGTTGTTGGTTTGCTTTGTTTTTGGTGAATAGGTTAAATCCAGCCTTCGCACGCACAAGGCAAGCATTATCCCTGAGTTGAATCCTTGAACCCATCTAGATTAATTTTTAACTAGAAATATTGACTGACTAGTTATTGATAGTATACACACTTAATTCCCACAGATGTTTAAAAAAGTTATTTGCTTGCTCTGGTTAAACAACTGCAACGCTGTAGATACTATCAGTCTCTGCAGAATTAAATAATACCTAGTCAGAGTCTTAGGCATGAACGTTGACACAGTGGTATACAGTGGGAGTATTTTCCTTTATGCTATTAAAGATGGTGTTGGCTTCTTTTTCAGATGCCGATATTATTTTCATGAGTATCACTAGAATAAAATTCAGAAGTATATTGACAAAGAAAACTAATCAGATTCAATAGTAGAATGAAAATTGATTCATCTTTAAGAAGTGTTTCCCAATGATCCAAAACCGTATCAAATGGTTATAGGTTAACTTTATTGATGACTACGTCTAGGCCATCTGTTGCAGGGCTTAGGAGTAGAGATAGATAATAGGCCTGGACCGCAACATTAGATTACATTTTTGGTTATGATTTTAGATCATATACGAGTCTTGAATGATCCTATGTAGGAGGGCTTGGTTACAAGGGAAAATTTTTGACTAATAACCAACCCACTTCTCTTTCCCTGTCTCCAGCTCACATCTTTCCCTCTTCTCTTCCCTCTCTTTCTCGGCGTGCCCCACATCCCATCCCTTCCTCCTTCAAACGTGTGCTTTCTAAAATTCTGGTTTACAAGAAAACGAAGGCGTTTTCCAGCATATAATTCCAGACAGATGCTTAAATTACTTGTAGAATTTGTTGGCGGGTATTAACTAACAGGCGCTCCTAATCACCGAGCCTTTTCTCCACGAGGGTTACAGAGTTTAAAATCCCTAGAGGTTATATAACTGTGTCGTTAGATGAAGCGAACATAAAGAGATGTTTCTTCCCAAGAAGTGGCAGTGACCCGGGAGCCAGATGGCCTCTGCTGGAACACAGTGCTCTCCCTTCCTTGGCTATCTGTCCTGGAAATGTTCTGATGTCCTTTGACGGTAATTATCACCAGATGTTCGATAAGAATGCTGAGTGATGGTGAATGACACCCAAAGACCGGGCAGGCACACATCCGAGTCTAGGGTCCCGATCCTCCTAGCTTGACTGGGTTGGTTGGGATTAGCTTTGAGGCCTCATGGGATGGACATTTTCATACTATTTCCATTGCACCGACCTGGACGTAAGAATCCCCTTAGCAGCACGATTACGGCAGTTTTCTCGATAGGGGAATTACGCCGTTTTACGGAGCCTTCCAGTTATTCCTCCAAACCACAGGGAATATCTTTTTCCCCCAAATTTTCCAAAAAGAAAGCTAGACACAGAGAGAGTAGCCTTGTCAAGGTCAGAGGGACAACAGCGTGACGGAAGGGATCGGAAGCTAAGGCATCTGGGTGTGTAAATATTTTATGGTACGGCTTCACCCCAAGGCATCTGAGTGGGTAAAGGCTCCATGACATGGCCTCTCAGTAACTCGAGGACTGGCAGAAGTTAATCTCCTTTGGGAGGTTTTGCTGATAATACCAAACACGATCACAGATGCACCTTGTTAAGAAACGAGCATTATTGCCTTGGTCCCTCCCTAAGGAGCTGACCTAACACACATGCTCCAACGTTTTCTTACATCCAGGAAATTCTCATAATTATTGTAAAACATCTCGTTCAAAGTAGTTCTCTCTTGGCCCACAACAGGGCTCGGCTGCAATAAACGGAATGTACAAGAAGGAGCCAGGACCCCTTCCTAAGCAGACATTCGTGCAATGCTGCTTGACCTGGGGAAATCAAGTCAAGTGATGGCCGGGAGGAGTAGGAAGAGACAGAAACCTGGGAAGCATCACTGTTCTGTTTTCCCTGCCTCTGCCATCCGTGCACACTTGCTGAACAAGACAACCACTTCCTTAGCCCCTCCTCAGAAGATCGGCATGGCCGATCTTTCCCAGGAGGAGCCAAAGCATGGGTTCCACTTAGTCCAGCATGGCTTTCAGCTGTGGGCGCCGAAGAGCTTCTGAGAGCTCAATCTGGTGAACCTCAGTAGAAGAATGCTCTCTCTCCCTGGGCAAGCAACAGACGGTACCTGCAACGGTTAAGTTACCAGCTGGCATAACAAACAAGCCTCAGACTCCACGCTTTCTCACTCAGAATCCGACGGGCAGGAGACCGGAGGGTCAGCAGCTCTGCCTCACACCGGCATTCACGAACCCAGCTGCAGGCCACCCCCTTCAGTGCCCCATCGCCCCAGCTTCCAGCATCCGAGAAAACGGGGGTGAGTGCATGTGGG